ATATATATATATATATATATATATATATATTCAGGGCTGGAGAGCTGGCTCAGCAGTTAAGAGCAGTGACTGCTCTTGCAGAGGACTCGGATTCTATTCCCAGCACCCACATGGTGGCTACCAACCATCCTTAACTCTAGTTCCAAGGGGAATTTGATGCCCTCTTTTGACCTCCATGGCATTGCATGACACGGATGCCATCACAAACATGCAGGCAATACACTCATACACATAAAATAAGAATAATAAATAATATATATACATTTAGGTGCATGAGTATTTTTCCTGCATGTATGTAAATCCAGTACATGCCTGTAATGCCCTCAGAGGCCAGAGGTAGCATTGGATCCCCTGGAATTATGAACAGATTTTCGTTACCATTTGGGTGCTGGAAACTGAATTTTGGTCATCTGAAAGAGCAGCCAGTGCTCTTTACCAATGAACCAGCTCTCTAGCCTCAAGGCCTGTAACTTAAGCACACTGGCAAAGACCATTGTGGATACCACATGTTCATGTCCTTTCACAGTCAATATAATGAAACCTCTATTATGACTGATTTTAAAAATAAGGGCTGAGGAGATAACTCAGTCAGTAAAGTGCTTGTTACCTAAGTATGGACACTTGGGATTGGATCCCCAGTACCCATGTAAAAAACACCCATGCATGCTGGCCCGAATCTGTAGCCCTAATCTATGATGGCAGAGACAGGTGAGTACCTGGAGTTCCTTGGCCATTCAGTCTAGCTGAATCAATGAACTGCAGGTTTGGCGAGACACCAGGTCTCCAAAACGTAGGTGGAAATTGACTGAAGACAATCCCAAATACCAGTTTCTGCCCTCCACCCCTTCACACACACGTGGACAAAAATTAGAGCTCAAGTAAGTTATGATAAATTTTTCTCTATTCATCCTTTGGATTTTTTAACATAAAACATCATTAAATTACAACATTTTATAGAAGCTGAGGCCCTATACCACTGTGTAGTACACTGAATTTGGTCTAGTCATACCTCCCACACTTACTAGACCATCTAGATTAGGAAGATAGCCTAGCACTATATACAGAAATAGAAATTGAAAAGAAAATCATCTTGGGCTGGAGAGATGGCTCAGTGGTTAAGAGCACTGACTGTCCTTGCACAGGCCCTGGGTTCAATTCCCAGCACCCACATGGTGGCTAACAACCATCTGTAACTCCAGTTCCAGGGGATCCAATGCCCTACATGGATACATCTACCTACATGTAAGCAATACACTCATACACATTAATAAAAATAAATAAAATGTTTAAAAAAGGAAAGACAATTATCTTGAAATAGCTAACACAGTGGCCTTCAGAACACCTAGATGTTAAATAGAAACATTATGTTATATAATGCGTGTTCATTATAATAAAATCAAAGGACATGGAATTCTGTGAAATTGAATGTAGGTCTACATTTTCATCACCAGAGACACAATTTAACTTTTTATACTCTTCAAGATTTCTATTTCATACATTCATAATTATGGTTACTAACATAATATTTTTCCAAAAAGGAAAATGTAATACACATGCTTTCTTTGAGCCCTCTAAAAATAGATGGTCCCCCTCTGAATACTAAGACTCACATTTGTCATCAACATACCTTTTCAGTTAAGTGTACTTGTTTGTTAAATGCCACAGTGTAGCTGTAACAGAGTTAATGAACAAGTTTCTATAATGAATATTCAGATTATTTCTAATGCTTTTATATCATCAGGAAGATATTTGATAGAAAATACCTTATCTATACAGACAGTATTATTCAGATTCATAATCTATATATAGTTGAGCAATTATAGCACTATATAGTGTCTTGAAAATCACTTTGTTGTCAGTCTGACCAGATTCAAATATGATCACTACTTTCTAACTATGTGACCAGGTGAGACATCTTAATACCTCAATATTGCTCCAACTATAAGATGATGATGATGGTGGTGATGATGATGATAGTGATGATGATACTACCTTACAGTACTATTGTGAGGATCAATGAGGCAATGTCATATAAAGTATTATTGAGTCTCAGGCATCTCAGTGTAGTAGATAACTGGTCCTTATTTGTCAAATGAGCGAATGCAGTTCTAAGCACTATTCACTTATATACCTAACCATGTTAGTAAATAATGCTATTATTGATGTCGTTATAATCATTTTCAAAAGCTAAGTCCATGGAAGTTGAAGGCTGAGTTGAAGTATATGGCCACCTTGTATTTTCATACATAGCAGAAAGGTTGCTATGCTACACAGCAGACTACTTTCAGAGAGGCTGTGAACACTTACAACTTTACTAAAAATACAGACAAGGTCTTCCTGCTTCAAACACTAACCTTGTAAGCTGTTCATTTTTCTATACTTGCCATTCCTGTAAGGATTCTATGTGAGAAACATTGTTGGATATTGATATAGAGCCAGTTAGCCATTGAGGAAGGGGATTAATTTCCATTTTTCTTGATTATTTGGATTTCATGTGTGGATTCCTTATTTACATTATGTATCCATAGCTATATCATGCAATCTCTTATTTATTTGGAAAACTATCAACATTTACATGAATATTATGATGCTTACATTTTTCCAGTTTCTTAGATGGTCTGCTAACTTTTGTTTCAAACATTTCAAACAAATATTTGGAATGCTTATTCATGTTAAATATTCATGCAAGATAGAATGTAAATGTTAGAGAATGTTAGAGGTGTAATAATGAGTTTTTTGTTGTGTACAGATTTATTTTTATTATTAATTACGTGTATGTGTGTGTCTGTGTGAAGATATGTACCTGTGAGTGTGGGTGCCCTCAGAGGCCAGAAGAGAGCATCAGATCCCAGGATCTGGAATTATAGGTGGTTGTGAATGACTTGGCTTGGAGCTGGGAGCTGTATTCACCCATGGAAACCTCATGTGAAAATGGATGTAGACCATTTCCAATATCTCAAAGTGCATCTCCTGGTAAACACCAACTGTGACAGGATCATGTTCCATGTGGATATCAGCACAGAACAGTGTCAGGACACAGCTTGGTCACTGCAGATGTGTGCTGACACTTACGGAACTATTATGCAGACACACAGTGAGCACTAATCTTCCTGCTGTTCAGAGCTGTCCCTATGGGATTTAGCTCTGTTTTATGCAGTTGTATCTTTAGCTTTAGAAAATGCTTCTAAATATCTTTCACAAGAGGACATTCCAAGGAGTACTGTATGGTTTTGTGGCATTTTCACATCTTTTTCAACATCCATTCCCTTGGTACTGCCAAATGTTACAGTTCTTTGTCCTGGTGGCATGTGGTGCCTTTTCTGATGATGAATGAAACTGAGAAATTTTCATGTGTTTGCTTACCACAAAAATGCACCTTTCTATGAAGCACCTATTCAAGAGGGAGTCTTTGGTCAATTTTTAATGGGGTAGTTTGTCTTTTTTTATTAATGTGTAGGAGGTCTTTTAATAGTTTGAATATGAGTCTTGATGGATACTTGATTGGCAAACATTATGTTCCAGGAGATGGTTTAGAGTTTCATTCTCTTAATGATATAGTTTGATAAACAGTATGTCCCCATTTCAGTAAAACCAAACCCACAAATTCTTCTTTGGTACTTTATTTTATGCTCTGTGTTTTTAGTCAGTGTTCCTGGCGTGTTCTGATGTCATGGATTTATTATATTTTATTTTAGAAGCTTTATTATGTCTTCAAAGTAAGTCTGTGTTCTATTTACAATGGATATTTGAATGTAAGACAATGGCAAGGCCGAGCTTCATCTTGGTCGTTTCTACCACTCTGCTGTGGTACGTTCTCAAAAAACCTACAAGACTACCTACATTAGGACAGTTCCATTTCTGGACTCCGTTCTGGTAGGGACCTGTTGCACTTGGGTCAGAGCATTTAGTTTCAATTATTGTGACTTCATTTGTGTTTTAATGTCTTTCAGTGCACGTTTACCAATTTTCTTTTTTCTTTCATGATTGTCTTACCTATATTTGAACTTCAAAAATTGTTTTCCCATTTTTGCTTAATATTTACTGAGATTCAGATCATTAACTTTTGGGCTGGAGAGATGGCTGCAGACTTAAGAGCACCTTCTGTTCCTTCAGAAGGCGTGAGCTTGGTTCCTAGCACCTGTGTCAGGTTCCTCATGACCACCCGTAAGTTATGCTCCAGAAATCTGATACTCCTACCTGGGTACTCACACACACCCGGCTGACTCTCACAGACACACACACACACACACACACACACACACACACACACCACCCCAGTCCAGTCCAGCATTTTGGAGATCCTAATGATGAACTTTATCCTTTTCTCACATAGCCCAGGCTAGCCTCCAACTCCAACAAAGACTCCTGCTTCCACCTCCTGACTGCTGGGATGACAGGCCTGTGCTACCAGGCCTGGTTTCTGTGATGCTGGCGATGAGCCCAAAGACTCTGTGCGTGCTAGGTCAACACTCTACCCACTAAAGCACAGGAAGGTGCTTTGAAGCAAGATAACATA